TGGGAAAGTGGAGATTCGGATTGATAGAAAGTGGGGGTTGGCCTTTAAATTTGGGGGCTAGGATTTGGGGGAAAGCCCCCCAGGTTGTACCCCGAGGGCTGTGTGTTTCATCTTGAAGAAGTGTTGGTGACATCCACATCTGTCATTTCCCTCATCATCAGAGAACCACACAATTTCAGTTTTTGGCTTCCTTTTTGCTTGTTTATGATATCGAGGTTTTTATATGGGGTGTGTTCTTCCCCCCAAGAGTGGGAGTCCCAGCTCTCTTTGTGAGGAAGTTTTTTTTCCCTGTTAGAAGACTTTTCCCCGCATCAGGATAATACACCCCAGGGTTGTGTGGGGCCCCGGGATGTACGGGGAAGGCAGGACTTCAGTGAGGGAAATTTTCCTCATCAGGAAGGAAAGTGCTTCCCCCCAGTGTGAAATCTCTGATGGTGGAAAGAAGGAAAACGATTTTCCTGCATGAGCCTCAGATGTTTGACAAGTTTTGATTTTTCTACAAAACATGTCTCCCCTGTGTGAATCTCTTATGTCTCGTATTAGATGGGTTATTGGTGATCTGGTATTGGTACTGTGTGCACCTATAGGGTCAAAAGACAAGGAATAACGGCTTCTTTCCCCTGTGTGAGATCTTTATGTTGTAAAGGTGGGACTTTCACTGAAAAACATTTCCCACAAACAGAACAGGAATATGGCTTCTCCCCCGAGTGAGATCTTTGTATGTCTGTAAAGATGATACTTCACTGAAAAAACATTTTTCCACACTCAGGACAGAATATGGCTTCTCCCCTGTTGGTGAGATCTTTGATGTCCTGTAAGATGGTACTTCATTGAAAAATTTCCACACTCAGGACACGGAATATGCTTCTCTGGAAGGCCGCGGCCCGGTCCCGCAGATGATCTGATGTTCCTCAGGATACGAAGAATTGACATAGTCCGATAAAAACACATGGGTTTTCCCACACTCCTGTACATTGGAGGGAGCCCGGCCTTCTCCTCCTGTACTGAGACGGGGTCATGTCCTGAACAAGGATCCTGACTTTCCAGTCTGGAGACAAAGTGAGACAATCCTCGGAAGGTTTACCCTCATCTTCCGGCCATGGACTAAAAGACAATGACAACGAGGCATTCTCCTAGACCGGAGTGAGATTCTTTATCCCACCAAACTAGGACTTAGCCCACGATCAGGCTGCTTGGTCTCTGATGAAACCTACACCCTTCCCACACTCAAGGGTACTAGGAGAAGGCTCCTTCCTGATCTTGAAAGGCCAGGGCCCGGTCCCGCACAGTCATGGAGGTTCTCTCAGAAGAGTACGAGGAATCAACCAGAAAAGGTCCATCTAGGACTGTGACAGTGCTGGATGGATTATAGGGACGTTGGTCCCCAGCCCCTCTATCCACTCATCGCTCATCTGGACTCCCAACTGTGGGATGTACTACATCTTCTTATTTAGTCCATGATAGTCATGGGGACAAAGTGGGTCGCAATAGATAGGACCACCAGAGGTTTCCAGAGGGTTGAAGGCCATGGGGGATGAAAACAAAGACAAAGAGGATAGACAAGACAGGAGCATGAAGACCCACCATCAGTGCAGGGATCAGTAGTCCCCCCCAATATCCAATGATCGAGTAATAAAGTCAGGACATAAGGAGGATGTAATGTAAAACATAAATGTATCTAGTGCAGGGGCTCAGGGGTATGTACTGTTACAACACATGAGAGTATATAGTGCGGGGGTCAGGATTAATTGTAACATCGTACAACATCACACACATCACATATTGTCAGGGGTGTCTCCGATATGTAATGTACAACATCCGGAGTATAATAGTACAGGGGTGCACCAGGATGTACACTGTACGAGCATGAGTGATAGTAGTCCCAAGGAGGTCAGAGTCTCTCTATGGTAACAACAGAGAGTAATCGTGCAGGTCAGGAGATGTAATGTACACACTAGATTAATAGTGCAGGGACATGGATTATGTAATGTACAACAAAGAGTACTATACAGTATGCAGGGGGTCAGAAGGATGTAATGTACAATATACATTATTACAGTGTAAGGGTCAGGAGGATGTTCATGTACAACATTGAGTATTCAGTACTTGCAGGGGTCAGGAGTATGAAATGTATCAAACAAAGAAGTACATAGTTGACAGAGATCCCAGGACCTGCCTATGAATCTCCTGATATTAGTAACTCAGTGGACTGCTTAATGTCTGAGACACTTGTAGACAAGGTTGCATATCCCTCACACCGCTGCCGTATCCCCATCTCCTGAGACTGGCACAGCATGCACTTGGGTCTGAGACAGTACAGACAATCCCTCCCACCCGGCTACAGCCAAGACAGATTACTAGACAAGCGATACCCTGGGCATGGAGCAATGATCTTCAGAGATCTTACTAGACCCAGAAATAGGGAAGAAGACTCAAAGCACACACCCCAGTCTAGGTCCTAGTAACCGTCTATGGTGTAAATGAACATTTTTAGCTGCCAGCTGAATTCCCCCAGAACCTCCATAAATTCCAGTCTAGAGACATAAATTGTGTCTGCAGCACAGAGAAGGAAGATGATACCGAGAGAAATCCCAGGAATAACAGGACGGGGAACACAGCTCAGGAAAAAGTGACGCAGGGGATTACAGGCTGATACGAACACCAGTCCCCCCGCCCCTACACCTGGACCAATCAGTGAGACAGTAGATGGGTGGAGGAATGGATTTAGTGTTCATGACCCACCTGTGCAGATCTCGTGTAGGAGTGTCCTCCTCTATAAATGTCCCCGTTATTCCATCCCTCCTCCATAGACTGCTGATCAACACCCTCACATACGCCTCTTCTTCTTCTGCTTTCACCTCAAATTCTATATCGATTGGATCTCCACTCTAAATCAAGGAAATGAGAGAAATATCATCTGTAAAATGTAAGGTCACATAAAAAATCCACACATCATCTCTACAAGTCCATGTTCTAGATGTTCTGCCCTTCCAACCTTGTAATGATGAGGGATGGCGTGACCTTCATGTGTGGAATCCCGGGAATACAGAGGACGGGGGACATCTCTCTGCTGGGTTCCTGGTATTATGGTGGCTCCATCATATCCTTGTGTCCTTCTGAAACTCCTCCATCACTCCATACTCCTCATCCTCCTCTTTATACTCTTCTTTACCATCAATATTATCATCCCCGAGGATTCCACTCTGAAAGATATAATAAAACATTCATTGTAACAAACATGCTGTGTATAAATCACAACTACCAATAATTGTCATCATCTACCTGATGATGGTGAGGGATGGTGTGACCTCCCTGTGTGAATCCCGGGAATACAGAGGACGGGGACATCTCTCTGGTGGGTTCCTGTAGCTGGATGACTCCACCATGGTGTCCTGGTACAGATCTTTGTGTTCTTTTAGAAGCTCTGACTCCTCCATCCCCCCATCCTCATCCTCTTTTTATCTCTTCTTTAACCTCAACTTTAGGATCTCTCAGGTTTTCACTCTGAATATATAATAAAAATGCCATCAATGGTAACAATGCAGATAATGTACAGATCCTAATGATACTATCAGTGATTGGGAGAATGTCCCAGAATTCCCGGCACCGCTCACCCTCTCCTGTCAGCAGCTCCATCATCTTCTTGGTGACTTCTAGAATCTTCTGCATGTTGTGTCTCTCAGGGTTTAGGGAGTCACATGGAGGCACTGTGATGGTCATATGATCATCCCTGACTTCAGAAGAGGAAATCTCTGTATTGAGGAACCAATAGAAATATCATGTTAGACTCCCAGAATCCTCCTCACTCTCTCCGGTCAGGTCTGTGTTTTATTAATAGAGATGAGAGTGATGTGTGACCTCCCAGAATCCTCCTCACCTCTCCGGTCAGGTCTGTGTCTGTGTTTTATTAATAGAGATAAGAGTGATGTCATGTGACCTCCCAGAATCCTCCTCTCCTCTCCGGTCAGGTCTGTGTTTTATTAATAGAGATAGAAGATGTCATGTGACCTCCCAGAATCCTCCTCACCTCTCCGGTCAGGTCTGTGTTTTATTAATAGAGATAAGAGTGATGTCATGTGACCTCCCAGAATCCTCCTCTCCCTCTCTCCGGTCAGGTCTGTGTTTTATTAATAGAGAGAATAATGTCATGTGACCCTCCCAGAATCCTCCTCACCTCTCCGGTCAGGTCTGTGTTTTATTAATAGAGATAAGAGTGATGTCATGTGACCTCCCAGAATCCTCCTCACCTCTCCGGTCAGGTCTGTGTTTTATTAATAGAGATGAGAGTGATGTCATGTGACCTCCCCAATCCTCCTCCTCACCTCTCCGGTCAGGTCTGTGTTTTATTAATAGAGATGAGAGTGATGTCATGTGACCTCCCAGAATCCTCCTCACCTCTCCGGTCAGGTCTGTGTTTTATTAATAGAGATAGAGAGTGATGTCATGTGACCTCCCAGAATCCTCCTCTCCTCTCCGGTCAGGTCTGTGTTTTATTAATAGAGATAGAAGTAATGTCATGTGACCTCCCAGAATCCTCCTCACCTCTCCGGTCAGGTCTGTGTTTTATTAATAGAGATAAGAGTGATGTCATGTGACCTCCCAGAATCCTCCTCACCTCTCCGGTCAGGTCTGTGTTTTATTAATAGAGATGAGAGTGATGTCATGTGACCTCCCAGAATCCTCCTCCACCTCTCCGGTCAGGTCTGTGTTTTTTATTAATAGAGATGAGAGTGATGTCATGTGACCTCCCAGAATCCTCCTCACCTCTCCGGGTCCAGGGTCTTTGTTTTATTAATAGAGATAAGAGTGATGTCATGTGACCTCCCAGAATCCTCCTCACCTCTCCGGTCAGGTCTGTTTCATTAATAGAGACAAGGTGAGTATGGGCAATTACCCATTAAAAGACATAAACACAATCTCCCATAGAGTAATATCTCTTTAATTGAGTAAAAAACAGATCCCCATTCACAAATTCTCACTCACATTTTTTGTTTTTTCTGTCACGTGGTATATATTTTTTTTCTACTGTTTTTTAGGTCTCTAGTTTTTTGTATGTGTGTTTGTTGTTTTTTTATTTGTGGGGGAGTGACTGCTCACATCCAAGTAAGGATGTTTTTCCTTGACATCTGTGTGGTTCCTCCAGTCCTCAGTCTGTTAGTGACAGTGCTCATTATATAGTCCCATTTGGACAGGTTTTATGTTCTCACCTATTGGTTGAAATGATCTATTATCTGATTATCACTGTTAGATCCATGAAGTGGATCACTTCACGTACACATCATTATTGTTTCTGTATGTGTGAATACACTTCATGCTATTGATATCACATTAGATCCCATCGTGGATCTGTATTCACTTTCATTGGATCCCTAGAGGATCCCGTCATCTTCTACACATGTATTGGTTTCACTGTATATAATTCTATGATTATCACTCATTAGTATATGTTTGTATATTCAGTATTTCTATTCACTTATTATTTATATATTAGGTAGCGCTGCATCAATTTATTATGTTTTTTGGTTGTTTCCCTGTCATAAGTATATGATAGATGGCAGCAGCTTCCTCTTATTAGGAGTTTTATGTCATCAGTATTGAGTTAGGAGTGCAGGAGGTTCACACCATTAAATTCTAGGAGCAGACCTCCTCCGTACTCCATACTGATGACCTAGAAGGGGCTATAAATGTGTCCCCTATAGATAATGGGGACTAAAGGTTGTCACCATTTCAGCACACACAACTTAAGGTTTGACATGTTGGATATCTATTTACTCGCTGCAACCTCGGCTTTTATATTTATATTGTTACACATAAATGGGTCATTTATTGCTTTTTTGTGCCCTGAAATTAACTTAAGTGTATTTTTTACTGAAATTTGCATTTCCTAGACTTTGTGATAATATTTTCTGACATAAAAAATTGAACTGTCGCTATTTTATTCTCTAAAGTCTCTACTTTCAGAAAATATTTTGGGGGTTTTTGTGTCATCTTTAGGGCTAAAATGATTTTTTTAAATGTTTGCAAAAAGGGCTCTGGGAGTGAAAGGGAGAAAGGATAAGCAGGACACTCCCCTTTCCTGAGGAGCAGCCAATCGGTTCTCATTACACTGAAAGGAATCTCCCCTCCCTGCTAGTCCCCGGGTGCGGTGCTGGAGACAGGCGGGGGAGGGGAGGAGGAGATAAACAGCGCAATGTTACACATATTAAATGTTTTAGTCGCTATAAAAGCCCCTTTCATTTTTTAAACCCCCGACATTCTAAAAGAGCCTCAGATTTATATACATTTTCCAAAGGAAGATTCCTTCCTCCTGAGCAGCAATGTAAAGGGGCTCTATGCTCCATACTCCTGACCCCGGCACTCCATCATTGTGTTGGCTGCATAGTGTAATGATTGCCCATTGGCTGCTGCCTGTGTAGTGTCATCATTGCCCTTTGTAGGCCATGTATGGTCAGGATGGTCCTTGTCTTGTCTATTTATTGTCAGTGCTGTTTGTTTAGAGGACCATATTACTAGAATTTATCTCCACAATGAGGAGAATGTTCCGGCCCCGGAAGTGGGGAATGTTCTGCCCCTGAAGGGGTTCATCTGGGTTCCCACACTATATATGTGTGTATCATCATCTGCTGGAGATAAAAGACACGTCACAGTGACTATGGAGGGAGGAAGAGGACGGACGTGACTATGGAGGAAGAGGACGGACGTGACGGTGGAGGAAGAGGAGGACATGACTATGGAGGAGAGGACGGACATGACTATGGAGGGAGAGGACGGACATGACTATGGAGGAAGAGGACATGACTATGGAGGGAGAGGACGGAGGTGACTGTGGAGGAAGAGGACGGACGTGACTATGGAGGAAGAGGACGGACGTGACGGTGGAGGAAGAGGACGGACGTGACTATGGAGGAAGAGGACGGACGTGACGGTGGAGGAAGAGGACGGACGTGACTGTGGAGGAAGAGGGCGGACGTGACTATGGAGAAGAGGACGGACATGACTATGGAGGAAGAGGACGGACATACTATGGAGGAAGAGGACGGACATGACTATGGAGGAAGAGGGCGGACATGACTATGGAGGAAGAGGAGGACATGACTATGGAGGAAGAGGACGGACGTGACTATGGGAGAAGAGGACGGACGTGACTATGGAGGAAGAGGACGGATGTGACTATGGAGGAAGAAGACAGACGTGATTATGGAGGAAGAGGACGGACGTGACTATGGAGGAAGAGGACGGACGTGACTATGGAGGAAGAGGACGGACGTGACTATGGAGGAAGAGGACGGACGTGACTATGGAGGAAGAGGACGGACGTGACTATGGAGGAAGAGGACGGACGTGACTATGGAGGAAGAGGACAGACGTGACTATGGAGGAAGAGGACGGACGTGACTATGGAGGAAGAGGACGGACGTGACGGGGGTTACTGGATGTAAATAGGAAATAACATCTTATTACCTCCTCTGCTGCCAAGTGCAGCAAAATATCTCTGATCTGCTTCCTCCCAACTCA